GACTTCTTCTTCTTTCCTCTGGATTTCTCGGAGGCATGAGAGGTTCTTTTGAGCCTTGGGGTGGTGATCCGAGTTGTTGGAGTTGAGAATTCGGTGTGGAGCTCATGCTACCTTGGGCTCGGAGTGATTCTTCCTTCTCCTTCCTCTCTTTTGGTTTCGATTTCTTGGAGTAGAGGTAACAAGAGTGAGAACTTCTTGTTAAAAGATTGTTTGATGAATTATAGGCTTGGTTCTGAATTCAAACATGTGGTGATGGATGAACTTTTGATTTCCAAGTGGAGGGTTTGGGGCGTTGAGTGTTTTGGCTCATGGATGAGATGTTGCATGATTTTAGTTGATTTTGTGGTTACGTGTGTTGATTTAGCCTTATTTTAAGTTGTATATGATGTACATGTAGTGTTGGAGGCCTTACATGTCATGGATTTTTTGAGTTTCATATACTAAGGGTAATTTTTGTGATCTACATTGTGCAAAAATCATAGTCGTGTTGAAAGCGCTTTCATGACATCAAACATAGTTCCAACTAGAGGCCTTTGTCTCGGTCATACTAGGCATAAAATCAATGGTGTCGGACGTAGGATCGATGGTGTTGGGCCTGAGGAGAAAGACTCATCTCAGATTGGGATGTCGAGTGTGGTTTGAATGGAGTCAGACGTGATAATAGGGAGAGGTCTGTGACTTGGTCATGTCGAGCGCTATTGAAGTCATGTTAGACGTGAGTTAGGTAAAGACCCTCTACATGAGATGAGGCCAGACATGGGTTTTGTCACACTAGATGTGAGGTCCCAAGGGATCTCCACCTCAGTCATGCTAGGTGGGATTTGGATAGCGTCGAGCGAGAGCGAGGTAAACAGCTCCCTGCCTCAACGACATTGGGTGTAGGATGCTTGGATGATTGGTGTGTTTTGGAAGGTTGTATAATGAACATGAATAAATGTTTCGAGTTCTATTACATGTTATATGGTGTATAATTATTGTTTTATGTATGTTGATTGGATATAACATATATAAATGTTTGTATGGGGCTGGATGATGCTAAACGTAAGTATGCTTTATTTATGTGTGTATTGATGTTGTTGATCTCTATATGCATTGATTAGATGTGATATATATAGCTTATGTATGCGTGAGGTGTGGATGATGAAAATGTGGTATGACATTAAGGCATGATTGGCTAGCTTAGGACTTGAGAAGAGGAAATTATTTTTAAAACTGAAGATCCCATAAAGGGAATCTTGGAGTGGTGCTCGGGTAGGCCATTGTTTGGAAAACCCTCCATGATTAGGTGTATCTCTTGGAGTGGGTTTTGAGTCTCCTCTAGGTTCTTAGTTAGTGCTTGAGTTAGGTAAGAGGTTAAGAGTTACAACCCTTAACCAAGTATATAAAAAGGTTGCGTGGTTCTTTGAGGATGACCAGTGAACTAACTCTACATGTGACTTGGTAATGCATTATTGGATGTCATGTGTGACATGGTTTTGGATGAGATATATGTTAGCATTGAGGTGTTTGACTTTCATATATGTTTATAGTATGATGTTATATGTTATAAAATTACTTTCTATGCTCACATGTTTTTGAACTCTAGCTTATCCTTTTGTATTTTTGTGGTTTGATTGTGATGATCATACATTGTATGATGATAAATTAAGACTAAGTTGGAGGAGTTGTTGCTGCTTGGAGGTTGGCAATGCCTTTTTAGTTGGTGGCAGTGTTATTATGATAGTTTGTATAGTTGTGCTCAATCGGTACTAAGATATAAAATTATTTTTGGATTACTATCTACATGTATATGACTTGTTTATATTAGCTCGGGTGTTTTACTTTTATATTTAGGTTTTATATATGTATATGACATGTTTCCTACTTTAATCTTGTATGTTCTAGTAGTTTAGTTTTTGCTACTAGTTGTTGTGATTTTGTTTAATATAAGGATTGCAATGTGTCATTACAAAACATTCTAATAGAGGGACTAAATTAAACAAAAAATTATCTAACTTTTTTTATCTAGATAAATTTGAATTTATTTATTTATTTAATAATTTCTTTTATTAGATAATTCTTCATTTTGTAATTTTTTTTTAATTTTAAACACTAATTTGTTGTTATTTATGATCTTATTAAGGTAATTTTTTTTAATTTATCTAGATAAAAAAAATAAATTTTTATTCAATTTAATCATACTATTTTTAAAATGTTTAATTTAGTTTTTTATTTTTTAAAGAAAAATTAATGTTATTCTTTTATTTAATTTTATTAACACTGCTAGTATTAATTTTGTATGAAAAGAAAATATTAAATATTTTTAAAAGATGAAAATTAAATTTTAAAAACAAACAGAAGAAATTAAAATAATCTAGCCCATTTTCTTGACTATAAAACTGATTCGACTCCATAACCATAGGAATCTATTCCTTCCAGTTAGCCCCCAAAAGCTCGGATAAATAAAATATTACTATCATCCTAACGTGGTCCTTATCATCATCATTATATATAACGTTGATTATTGCTTTTGCAATTATTTATTCCTACCAAATCTATTTCATATATGTTTTCACTAATTATTATGTGACTTGGTCTTACTCACCATCCGTACATATGTATGTGACACGATGCAGAACTTACCTACTATATTGTCATATTCTGCATTTCCAAAAATTAGAATAAATTTTGTTTGAATTGTTTTGTACTATCAAAGTGTAAGAATATAGCATAAAATTGAGAATTTTTTAGTTTAACTTACACGTGGAATTTTTTAAAAAATTGTATCAATGTTTTTCATTATTACAATAATAATAAATAGCAATCACATGATTAATTTTTCATGGTGGTATATTCCAATCTGGTGTACAAAATTAAACTTAAAGATTTTAATAAAAATAAATAAATAAACTTAAAGATGAAAGTTAAAGAAGGTGGAAGATGAGGAGACACGAGATTTGCGTGAATGCAGAAAATAAAGTGGAGTCCATATGTTAGCTAAGGTGATGGCTCAATAATTGAAGACGTAAAATAAAGTTGGGGATTTTTCTTGTCTTTCCATTAAAGCTGGTTTTCTTCCATTCAGATTTTGCATTTTGGAGGCACCTTTCATGGTCATTGCTACCTGGCTTGCCTTTCTCTACCTTCTTCTTCACATGATCCCACACCAAGTGGCCCCTTAAATAAATCTTCAACATTAAAATACACTCAACTAATCTAAACTATTCTTTATTTGTTTCTCCAACAAAACGCGGTGATGACGTATTATTTAATTATAAATTATATATAAGATAAATTTATTAGGATATATAAATAAAATTTAAACTATTATACCATATATTGGAATTCTTAACTTGCAAGAGAATTGGTTTAAAAAAAAGAAGACAAACTTGGCAAGTGAGTTCTTATTTTCTGGGTACTGTCGCTTAGAAGTTCTAGCACTATAACATGATGAATTGAGGTATCTAGTGGAGATTGCTTATAAGCAATTTCTTGTGTCACATCACTGCTACATCAGTTCTGTTCATTTTATGGATTGCTTAAATTTTAGTAAAGTTGTTTCTACAAGTAACTTTGCTAAAATTTAAACAACTCATAAAATGAGTCAGAATTGATGTAACAATGATGTGACACAGAAGATTATTTTTCCATTACAGATATTATTAGTGCATGTTTGGTTTTTAAGTCTAATGTAAATTTTCACGTTTGCTTAAAGCAAAAAAATTTTGCTTCCACGTAAAATTGATATCTAACGTGGAGAGAGAATGTAAAATCATGTTTTAAAAGCTAATCCAAACATGGACTTAGTCAACACTTATATACCATAAAAATCTATTTATCAGAAAATATCATGTTCGATTTTTTATTATGTGTGAAAATCTTTCAAGTTAATGTTGATGACAATACTGCAACCAGAATTTATCTTTAACTTTAGTGAATTGGGATACTCAATAAAAAAAAAAAAAAGAGATTTTTCAATAAATATATTTTTTCTTTGTGGGTATATTTCAGATGTTACTTTTGTAATTAGTGAAAAAAAATTACCTTTAACTATCTTAACCTATTTTCTTTTGATTTTTATTTGGATATTTAATTAAATTTCTGAAATATTTATTCATTTTAATTTGAAAATATAAGTTATATATTTAAAAAAAAATATTTATTTTAAAAAATAATTTAAAGATGCTTATTTATTTATTATAGATTACACTTATAATTATATACAATTAAGATAAATATTATCTCCTAAATGTAAGTACGTGAAATAAAATATCAATTATTATTAAATGAGGACAGATTCAGTTATTTTAAATTTATATCAAAATTTAATAATTTAACATTAAATTAAAAAAATTAATTTATAGTTGAATCAAGTTTATAATTTTTTTAAAATATAAAATTATTTAATATTTTATTACATTAACTTAAATTGACAGATATTTATAAAAGTATTTTATATATTAATTTAAATTTATATAACAAAGTATCATATAATTTTCAAACATTCCACTAATTTGTATATTTGATTTATATGTTAAAAAATTTAAAATTAAAGATTAAATTGTTAAAATTTAGTGTAAAACATAAATTATTGAGTGAAATAAGTTTATAAAAACTTACTCTTGATAATTTTAAAAATCTGTAAATTTAATTTATATATTAAAAAATTAATTAAACAACTAATTTATTAAATTTGATATTAATATGAACAATGAAGTGAAATGCAAAAGTTATTCTTATAATGGATGGATAAATTGTAATAGAAATGAATGTGCATATTTGATATTTGCAGCGTAAGCTGGTAAGCTCAGTTCTGCTCAGCAGCCAACCAAGCAGCAACAAACACAAACGTACAACACCAATTCATTCTCAAACACTCTCTCTCTCTCTTTCTCTTTCTCTTTCATTCTTTCAAGCTTTCATCCACCAACTTTCTAGGCCAAGAAAGTCATTTGATTTCTTAGACTCAGGTTCGTTCTCACTTCTCACAATCTCTCTCTGTGTCGGTGTTTCTTGGATTTGGTGAGTGGCGGTGATGGTACAGTGGGGTTTCTATGTTTGGTCGGAAAACGTGAAAAAAAAAACATCTTTTACTTCGAGGGTGCCTTTCATTAAATTCAAAACTTCATGGACCCTTTTTCTTGTGTAATAAAGTGGCTTTAAGAAGAAAGATACTTAAATTAAATAAAAGAATTCAACCGACAGTCTTTGCTCTAGCTAATGAAAATCTACCTTTCTTTCTGATGAGTGCGCGTTCTTCTTCAACGTTGTCGCCTTTGGTTTGGTTGTGATTTGTGAGTTGGCTAGGAATATGATACTGTACTTCCAAATCTAGTGTTGAAAGCTTCTCCTTGCGTGATTACTTTTTTAATGCTTCCTATTGTGCCAAATGGGTTTTTTGCCCTTTGTTGAATGGTATTCCTTCAATTTACCGCTCCATGTAATGCTATTTGCTTGATTTTGTTCCTTCCCTCTTCCATTGGAGGAATCCGGTTTGTCAGAAAATCCATATGCATGAGTGTAACTTATGACTAAGGAATGATTATCTTTGAGAAGCTTATAGCTAAGAGTTGTTTCCATCTTGTAGAAAGCTAATGGGATAGCATCCAATTCTATCATATGCCAATTATGATTTACTAGGTAGTTCAGCCTGATAGTTCAATAGGTAGTATCAGATTAAACACAAAGATATGAAAAAACTTGAAAGCTACTACATCATTTAGATGGGGGCTCAAGTTTCTTATTGATTCAACTTTCAGTCATATTGGATCACTGTTGTATCATCCATAGTCAAATAGAATTCATGAGAACTGCCAGGCCGGCCTAGCGGTTGGGGGTTGGAGTAGATGCATAAAGACTTAAGTCTGATCTTTATTATTGTTGTTGTAATCTTTCCTATTGATAGAATTCGTGAACCATGCAGAGTTGGTTCTGGGTTCTGTTGTTCTATACGATATATTCATACACAAAGTGCAATGAGATTATCTCCTTCAGCTAAGTCAATTTGATGTTTCACTTGTAATTAGTAAACAATTGACTAATGCAAAAAATGACAGTTTGTTTTCCTGGTATGTGGTCCATGCATATGAAAATGTCAAGTTTGAGTTTTAATTTCGTTTGACTTTGGGGTTTTGCAGAAACCAATTACATGATACTAAAGACTCTAATGGAAGAAAAGCAGTTAGATTTTAATCAGCCTCTTTTATCAGTAAGACGATTCTCATCAACAGTGGCCTCAGAAAATGACAATAAGAGTAAACCTAAGAAGTCATTACCCAAACGACCTCCTCTTCCATTTTACAAATCAGAGTTAAAATCAGGTCCAGTGAGTAACCCTGGAACTGTCCCTTTTGTGTGGGAGAAGTCTCCTGGAAGGCCTAAGAATGAAAGCAAACTACAAACACAGGCCGTTGAACAATGCTCGATTGCTCCAAAGCTTCCACCTGGGAGGGTTTTAAAAGTTGAACAGCAAGATTCTGATAAAGTTACATCAGTTACTCAATCCAGAACAGGAAACAGTCTTTCAGATTCTCAACGTGCATTGTCTTTAGAAAATAAATCGACAAAACATGAAAGCCCCAAAGAAGTAATTGAGGAAAAGGCAAGTTCGGGTTCAGATGATGGGGATGAGACCTATCTAGATGCTCAAGATACACTTTCTAGAACTGAGTCATTCTTCATGAGCTGTAGTGTGAGTGGTTTGAGTGAATGGGATGAACAAGAGGTTCAACCATCTGGGAGTTTTTCAACAGATCAACAAGCGCGTGATTTCATGATTGGTAGGTTCTTGCCTGCAGCAAAAGCAATGGCTTCTGAAACACCTCAAATTCAACACAACACTAGGAAGCCGCTTGTTACACAAGAACAACCAAGACAGGTAAGGAAACTAGTAAGTGGAGCGAAACCCCGTCCAGTTGATCAGAAATGGCAAAAGGTTTTGCCACATTATGCTCAAGATGTTGATAGGGAAGAAAGTGAAGATGAAAGTGATGATAATGATGGATATGAAAACTATGCACCCAAAGTTTGTGGGTTATTTCCTCGGTTCTGCCTTTTGAATCCTGTTCCAGGATTAAGAATGGAGGATAGGATTCTTAGTTCTACAGTTCATGGAGTGCAGAGTAAATCTGTGGCTTCTCACAGAAGAAGCGAAAAAGAGGTATTAATTTGCCCCTACATACTTTTATTTTGTTTTGGTATTATTTCACTTTAGGCTTTATTATCATTTGGTTCGCCTTTTTCTTCTGCAGTATGGTAGAAGTAGAACTGCAAATCATGGGAAAAAGTCTGTAAATTCCCAATCTGCCTCTACAGATGAGAAAAATTTTCTGGGTACTGCAGAAAAATCTAAGCATGGTATTGATCCACATCGCAGAGGTTTCAGAAAACCATTAGCCTCTGAAAGTACTCAATTTGAATCAATCTGTGAAAGCCCTGTTGTCGAGAAAACTCTATATGTAGATTCTGTACATAAGGTCAAATCTTCATGTTCTTCGGACACTGGTATTGATAAAAATCTTTCTATAGATTCTTCAATTGAGGATCGCAAACACTGTGGCATCGTGGATGAGAAGGCAGTAGTACAACCTAAAAATTCAGCATCTCTTGATTCACTTCTGGTTTGTTCTGATCATTCAAATGATGATATGCTAATGGAAATGAAAAATCATTCCAACAAAATATGTCATGAAAAGCAAGACTTGACAAAGTCTGATTTCCAAGGAAGCAACTTAGATCATGAGTTGGTTGCAATGTCAAGTCCAGAAATGGTTGAATGCAAGAAAATTGAATCAGAAAGCAAAGCTTTTATTAAGGAAGGTTCTAATTGCTTAATTCCGAATTCTGTTTCGTGGAGAGACATGAAACTGGCTAGTCATTTGAAATTTGATTCAAAGGGCCAATTAGCCACCAAAATGGTTGATCAAGAAGGCACTCTTGGATATAGTAAGGATCCTAGAACCTTGGCTAGCTCAAAGGGGGTAGGTGACAGAAAGATCGCACAAGAAAGTCAATCGCGTATGAAGTTGGGCCATGGAGAGACATCAAATGCAAGCGCTTTGAAGCTTCCTCTTGCCCTTCCTTCACCAAAAGCTCCTTCAGAGTCTTGGCTTAAGCGCACTTTACCAGCGGTTTCCTCAAGGAATATAGCATTGAGGTCTAATCTTCCTGCCAACTTTCATGCACCAACTCAAACTCCCAATTGGGAAACTGTTGTTAGATCTTCTAAAGTTAATCATGGGCATCATCGTCAGTTTGCTGAGGTAATTTAGCAAATTTTGTGGATCATTTTGTATAACGTAGTATCAACATATGCTTATATTCCTTTATTATTTTTCAGGAACTACTTCCACCCATTCCAGAAGCATGAATGAGCAACATTTTTTTAATGTAATTATTTGTTCTCAGGATTCTAATTCTACAGTTTGGTCTCCCTTTTGCTTTTAATATATACATGAGATGGTATACTACTCAAAAGTGTAAATCACAGTTGCCCATTTTGTCTTGTAAATCAGTAAATGAAATAAGTTGTTTCAATATAAATTTATCATTGTAAATGACATCATCTTTAAGCGGATCTGTTCCTGTTATATGTAAGGGCGGGGCGAATGACCTTTTGCCCCAAAAATTGTTTCTTCGGAATATACTGCAAAGAATAATTTCGTAATGTTGATTATGGTGGTTCTGCTCTTCAATTATCTTCATGTGGAGTAAACTATTTTTAGCACTGATGCCTCATGAAAATCAAATGTTATAGACAATCCATGCCATTTTCTGTCAAAGTTATTGCTGTGCTATTGATTCTGAAAATTGGATTTGCTTCAGCAATGGCTAATCTAACATTAACCTTATGCACAGCTTTTAGAAGTGCTTCATGAGGCGAAAAAGGCCTGCTCCCTCAATTTCATATGGCAGCATAATTTTACCCAGACAATGTAGCCCAATTAGCTTGGAGACACACAAATATGATAAAAGGTAATAAGAATTGAAAATATGATCATATCCATGTCAGCAATTTGGTGGCATTTGAATGTCAACAATTGGAATGGCGTTACTGAGAACAAACAAAATAACAAATATATTTTTGCTAGTATCAATAGTAAACATGCGCATGTGTTACAAGCGTAATCTAAAGTCTAGACCTTAAAAATAAAAAGGATATAAGCCCAAAGTACAACATTTTTTTGGCAAAATATTTTTTATCATTTCTCTAAAATTTCTCAAATTCGATTTTAGTTCTTTAATACGTTTTTGTTCTATTTTAATTTCTCTAATTTGTAAATACACCACTTTTAGTTCTTAAAGCAGTTTAAATAATTTTTTATAACCATTTTTAAGCGTTATCTTAACCACTTTAAGAATTATAACTTATGCATTTTCAAGTTAGAGGGATGAATAGTTTTTGGTTACCATCATGCAAATGTTTGGCTACTTTAATTGTAGCCTTGATTTTCTTGCAATCTAGAGGTAAAAGTGGCAAAATAAGGTGTAGTTAATTTTTTTTTCTTCATCCCAATGTCCATTAGAGTTCCAATGTGTCATGTGGGTATAATAGGTCATTGTGTGAAAATTAGATCAAGTTAAATTTCTCATAAATCATAATTTTGTGGCCCTAGTCTAGCTCATCAGGCTAACTCAAATTGAACTATTTTCTTTTTTACTTACTTTTATATAAAATTTATACAAAAATATAATATATATATATATATAGAGAGTCAAATAGGTCAATTATGCTTCAGGCCAATATTTTTTGGTAGGTTAAGTTGACTTGAGTTTTTTTTTTTAATCTACAAAATTAAAGTTCAACCTCATGTTTTAATGAGTTGTTTATGTTTGACTCATTTTTTCAACTCTATGGTATTGGTACATACAAGTCACAAGAGTTGTAACTATGCTTTGAAAGATATATGATTTTGTTGAATATCCTAGGTTGATTTCTACATTTGTGAAATATGAAAATTAACTTAACAAACCTATGTTAATACTTAAGATTGCATAATAATACATGATTCCATAAAAATTTTATACATTGTGTGAAGAAAAGAAAGACACTAAAAGGGAATTAAATAGTATCAATCAAAAACTCATATTGCCTTTTCAAAATATTAAAGTAGTATCAAAATCTTAAGAGTTCAAAAAAAGAATCAAGAGCAAAAAACAAATAATATTTTTAGACTGGTTCGTTTCAACTACCAAGATTATATCAAGTTCTTGATCAATCTGGTCAATTTTCATTATCTTTGCAAAGATACAAGTATTATTTCAAAAATCTTTTTTGACTCAATCTAAGTATTCTTTGACTTTCCTCTTCAAACAATTATCTAAGTATTCTTTGAACAATGAACCAAGCTTCAACAACCAAATATTATTTTCAATAAAGTCTCTTCAAGTTTCAAGGTATAACACAAAGTTAAAGTTGAGAAATTATTATTATTTCATCTTATTCACAAGACATGATACAATCAATTTAAGTACAAGACTTACACACAAAAAAATCAAATGAATTTTTACAATTGTTATTCTCTCCTTTCAGTGTTTTTAAACTTCTTTATATATGTGTTTCATGAAGATGATCGTTGTAAATTCTTGAGTTTTTCTCACAAACTTGCTTCGTCTTTCTTCATCTTCCTTCCTTATAAAGTGAAACGTCTGTTGGTACATTAAATGCATTTCACCAAATAATCATTTCTTATCCGATCAAGGATATTATTTATCACCTTTAAGGTACAAAAGGGAGAAATTATTGCGTGTGTCAATTAGAAGTAATTTTATCTAAGACTTTGCACACTTCGAGATATCTCTTTATCCTTTCTCTGATGAAAAATAACCTTTGTTCCTTTTTGAAACTCAAGTGCCAAATAAACTTTTATTCCTTCAATTTGTTAAAAAAAAATAACATAAACAAATATTATTTGGTCATCAAACATCATAAATGATATATTTAGTGCATTCATCTTAAACAGACGAAATAATTCATCTAAAAGATTATATGTCATAGTAACTAATCATCTTTTTATATAATCTGAAAAACATATATTTATAAAAACATTCAAGTTTGTTAATATTAAAACTTACATCCTAAAAGATTTAAAGTCATCCTTTGATCTAACATATTGCAATAAAAAATCTCAACTTGATTATTCTTATTAATAGTTCCTTCAAGTTATAATGTGATAAAAATTTCATCTTTCTTGTATAACTAACTAAATATCAAAAGATTGTTTTAACAACTTTAAATTGTGTTTTTTCTAATATATGACTAAAATGTAGCATAAAAATACATTAAACATAATATTAGGTCTATAATATTGAACCAAACATACTTTTACAAGCCTTTTGATTTACTACTTTGTTTAATACATCATTATTTTGAAAGATTGAAGAACACATAGATGTCTTTGTGGAGTTTTGTTTCATTTATTTTGAACTTCCTAAGTGATTTTTAGTATACCTTTGTTGATAAATGAAGATACCATTTTCATCTTGTTTAATTTGTAGACATAAAAAGAACTTGAGTTCTTGTACTAAGATCATTTCAAATTCACTTTATATCAACTTATTGTTGATTATAGCCTCGACCACTAACTTTCTCTTGTTGCTTAAAACCTTGTCATATTCATTAAGTTATTTTTTATTCCAACTTATTTTAATAATTTTCTTGTGTGGCTATGATAGTATTTTTTTGAAAGACTTGAAGTTGTCTATACTTATTTTAAAGAGATAAAAAATAATGTTTATAAATTTTAGAAAGATAAAAAATATAAAAATAATTATAAAAACAAAAAATCAAAATTTTCTTATTTTATAAGGACTAAAAATATATTTAAACTTATAAAATATTAATTATATTTTGTGATGTCAATAAAACTAATGAAAGATATATAATAAAAATATATTCAAATTTAAATCTTAAATTTTTTTTTTCTGTTTGCGTTCTTTAAGACTTGTATTAATTTCCTATAAAATCTATTTTTGGTTGTGTGGTTCATGCCTTATTAGTAAAAATAAATAAAATAATTATTTGTAGAACTACTTGTAAGTAATTAAACAAATTTATTTTAGTGAGAATTTTGATTTCAGTAACATTAATTTAAAGACAAGTTTAGATATTAAATTCTCCACGTGTGTGGAAGATTGATGAAGTATTTCATTGGGTTGTTGGAGTCTATTGACATCTAGGGTCCACTAGTATGTACCAACTTGTACAAATTACTATTCATAGAGTGTTTGTTTTACTTTATAGTTGTCATTTAGTTATTATTTATTTATATTTGTCTTCTTTTAACATTAAGTTAGTTATCTTTTATGACTTTGAAGGTAATTTCAATGACTTTTATTATTATTATTATTATTATTTTTTATGTAACCTTTCCTTTTATAGTTTTGCAAGTTTACCTTGAGATGAATGACATATGATTTCAAGTAAAAAATAGTTTATCCGTATTTTAATTTAATGTAAAAACACAATTTAATTTGTTTATTTTTCTTACAATATCTGGTGCGTGCATGTTGTGTGTGAGTACCCTTAAACTTTTATTAAGGTAATAATTTTTATTTTTTCATATAAAATATAAAAGAATACTTAATTTGAGACACTCTATAATCACAATTTTGATTAATTAACGCACTGGTACACAGATTACCCCACAAATAAAAATAAATATATGGGATTTTTCAATATAATTTTAACATCTTCTTTATTATTATAAATTGATTATTTATATAATTGTAACTTACTCATATTGAAAGTGTTAAATTTAATAATCTGTTACAGAGAGGTTATTGTGATTTTTATATCACTAATAACAAATATATAATTTAATACTTTCTATATATTTTAAAAATATAATGCTAAATTTAATGAATGCTATAAAATATATATTTTCTGTAAAATATAATTTTTATTTATAAAAATTTGAAAATATTATTTATTAAATTTTTTCAAAAAAATATAAGAAAAGTTATTTTTTTTTTCAAAGTGTCATTTTAATTTAATATCTAATTTATGTAATATTATATCATTTATTAATGATTTTTAATATTAAAATGATGTTTGTCTTATAATAATAATTTATCTTCTTATTTTTACCATGATATTATATTATGATTAATTTTGATATAAGATAATATTTTGTTAATTTACATAAGATACACTTTAAATAAATTATCATAAATATTATATTATTATTTGAAAATAAATTGGACTTTATTTTTATAATTTTATAACTAATTTATTTATATTATAATGATTTTAATTTTTACAGTTTATTTCATATAAGTAAGTTTGCTTTACTTATACTTTTTCTCATTATCTATTAGTCAATTATAATATTCAAAAATATTTGACATTTTCATAAATGCAAGTCTGTTTTACTTGCCTATAGTTTTTTCTCATTCATTAATTAACATGTTTAGAAATACTTTATACCTTGAGCATGCCTACACAAATATGCACATGTATATATGTTATATAACTTTTAACATAAAATAAAAAATTCTTTGTAAAAAAAGATATTTATGGACACAATCTTTAATATAAAATAAGTTTTTAAATAACTTAAATTTCAAAAACGATCATGACAGATATGAAAGAAAACTTCTTATAAGTAACTGACCTTTTTATTTTAATTACATTATTAATATAAAATATTTACTATAACTGATATA